GGGGGGGGGGGGGGGGAGGGGGTAGGGAGCTCTCAATAACGAGGTTCTTTATCTGTCATAGATGAGGGGAGAAAGAAATTTTTCACGGAAGCTTCTTTGACTGGAAAATGCCCTTCACGATATTCATGGCATCCGTGAGATCGAATCTTTTTCCCTTCTTTGAAATAATCTTCAGAATGATTCTTAATTATCTTTTAACAACGCTCGATTCTATAAGCTCTATCGAAATTATCTTTTTATCACGAAAAATTGTTCAAATTCATCGGGAAGCTACGCGTTTAAAATCTCGGAAGTGAATATTTTACGAGAATTGAATATGAGAGTTGAATTGAATACAGGGACGAATCTCTCATCGGAAATTGTTGAATCCGAACGCAAGATCAAGATTTCCAAATTGAAGATCAAATTCGGAAGTCTGAAAAGGAAAACTGCTCATATCGAGTCGTGTAATATGGCTTACCGAAGCCGAGAGGCTCCTCGTTGGCCGATGGTATCGGACCTTCTTCAGGTACACCGTGTATATGACACCGTCGCCCCTTTCCTCGCCCCATAAACGCCACGTGGGCTGCAAAAGCAAGATCGAGCGTCGAACTTAGTTGTGAGAACGTCCATGCGAGTAGCGCATGCCACTTCGCGATACAATGGAATCGGTAACGAAGTAGTATGCGCCGGGGGATGATTCACGCTCCTAATCTCGAAGGATACGAACTGCTCCCTATCGTGAACCAACAAAGCCAGCCTGACGGATGGATGCGACAATGTAGGACGAAGAAGATACCTCAATCTTCTCTTTGTGCTCTGTGCCAAAATTATTCGTCGCAGCAAATTAACTATTATATTTAACTTTCAATCGCGGAAATCGATTATCGGTATTGTGAGAGTGTATCGCTTCGCATTTTTTAATTTCGAAAGATTTATCGCCGAATCATCCCCTGGCTGCGCTTGTGCATGCTGCTCTAATTACCTTCTCATTCATCAAGCATGCTTTATTATCGTCTTCGATAATTAGGAAAAATCCAAAATCGATTTTTCCCCAATAAATTCCTAAGACATCGTATGATATATCAACATAACATAATTAAAAATATACTTACGTCAAAGAGAAGGTTCTCTTAACACAATCTTAACATATAGAGAATTCTCTAAATATTTCTAAATTCTACAAATTCTCTACATATCTACTAATTATTTAGATACAACAAGATGTTTCCCGAAAGTTTGCATCCAGCTTCGCGAAAATTTCCCGTAGAGTAAACACGTCTCCTCGGTCAAAACTGTAATCGTTCCTTAAATTCAATTTTAGCAAAGGACGATTTAATTCGATGCGCACTTCGCGAAACATCTCTCGCAATTCCATCTAGAAACGACTCAAAGTGAAAACATTGTGCAGGAATCAGGATAAAATGAATCGGGATAAAAAGACAACGTCGAAAGTGCGTCGAAGGCCGCAACGATCGACGCTTGCTCGCGGGGAAACTCCGGCAAAATTGTCATCTAGCTTGCTTGTCGTTTCTTTGTTTAACGAGTGAATCCTTAAACGTCGACTGAGTCACGTCCATGCGTAATGAGCGCACGCGCGTTCACCGGCGCTACGCATTACGTTGTGTACACGTACACGCGAGCGTGTCGCTTATCAGTGACAGTCGATGCCAGCCGGTCTGCAATCAATCCCGGTTTGATAAAGACAAACTTACTCACGCGATGACGTAACGCCGGCGATAAGCTCGGCTGTAAAGGTAGTTACCCTCGCGGAAAAGGTATTTCGCCTTATCACCGCGCGCTCGCGGGGGAACTGCAATTAACGATGTTCATCACGCCGGTGTTTCCGCTCGCCGTGTTAATTTCACCACCAGATCCGATACAGCGGCCGACCCGGATCATAATTAATTTTTGCTAGATTAACGCGCTCGTCTACTCGCTGAATATTATACAGGGTGAGGTAATAATCCCGTTACTAACTTGAAGAATATCTTCGAGAAATCAAAATATTTTGTCAACGATTGGATGAAGGTGAGAAAAGTTTACATTTGCAGAAGACGTTCGAAGTCAGGCCATTGGTACATCAATGCAATTTCTATTAGATGAATTGTTCCCCTACTTTCATATTCCGAAGATATTCGAAATGGTACACAGAAGAAAAGAATACTAGATTCAAGTGAATAATTACTCCAATATTCCTTGGCAAATTTTCCGAAGAAATTATCCAGGTAAAATTTACTTAATCCAAAGAAAAACTTGCTAAGGAGTATTCGAGTAATTAGTTGCTTGAATCTTTTTTCCCTGCAATAATTATCGTCTTACACGCTCTGCGTGCAGATGAAAAACAACTCAGTTCGTGTAAATAAAGGGATTAAACGAAAACTCATAAGCTAAAAATACTCGATATCTCTGTTATCGTAGTCAAAATTTCATCTGAATATTTTCAGCTATTTTTAAATTCAGTTGAGATAATTGAGAACAACTGACCGAATAGAAACCTCCTGTACGAGTCTTTCGGTACAATTGAATTTTCATCCGGTCTCCAGATAATGGATAACAGATAACTCCGGTCTATAAAAAATCACTTATATGAATCGAGAACATTTTCCGTGCATTATTCGAGTATGACATTTTACATCTCTCTCTTCAATTTTCAACATTGAGTATCTCAAAATAGTCGCGCTCGCATTGTTCGAACGACGCGACATTGACTGGTTGGAGATTCGACTGAAATAAAAATTAAATTAAATTAACGCCGGACTGATCAATCACGATGGCGTGTCGATTTAATGCCATTTATTCAACATTAATTAACTCAACAGAATAGCTGATTAAATTCGCGGCTCGCGAATGTGAATTCGATGAAAATAATACGTGAATAATTGACGATGCGCATTTCGCCGTGAAATCGAACGGTTCTACCGTATTTCGGTCGATTTCAAGGATCGACGGGAAGGTACGCGCGCGATATTCGTCGCGCGAATCGCCTTTATTTATCTGACATTGGAATTGCGTAAACAAAGCGGGATGTTTGTCGAAACAGCCATAAGGGGCTTAACCGCCGAGGATCGCGCGACAGACGAGGTATTTGCGTCTGCGACGGTGATTACAACCGAAGCCCTACGCGGACGACGTCGTCCGCCGGAGAAACTAAATCGTTCCGCGGGAAAATCGCGAAAACGGAGAAACACCGCAAGAGCGCTTTCTACTCTCGTATTCGTTATCGAGAACGTATCTCTATTCCCCGGGGATATCGTCAGATACAGCTCGTATCGGATAATCGCACCTTTTATTGTTCTACTTTTGTAATCGTTGCCAGTCTTTTTCTTCTTTAGAACGACTCAGCATGTATGAGTCAAGACGAAGTCTTATCGCGAAAGACAAATTTTCTTATGAAACATGGCTCGTTCATTGTTCAATTATTGGAGAATTTCATTACGAAGTTGAGAACGTTGTTAATTACGACCGTTCCTTCTTACGTGTATCAATTAACTGCAGATTTCATTCTGTTACATAACGGCCTTAATTTCACGTTTTAATAGTCGTGCTTAGACTTCCATTAGTCCTTCTTACTTCTTGTAATATTTGAAAGCCTTGTAATTTTTATCAATTATTTTGCATTTCATTAACTTTCTCCTCTCTCTCTCGTCTTTTCCTAACTTGAATGAAATTATATTACATATCCAATCAGTCCCACGAATTCAGACGTCGGAACAGAAATTCGGCAAATTAATAACTTCAACCCCTAAGTGAGTAAATAATTTTCGACCCCGATCTGTGATAGACGCGAGGATTTCTCCCGGGAAATTGACCGCTCGATATACTCGGGCAGATATAAAGTGATTTAGGACGATGGGCGGAATTTTCTGGGAGAGGAAAATTCCAACGGCAAGAAACAGAGACGGCGCGAGCGAGACCCCGGCTCACCGACTTACTCCCCGGAACGACCGGGGCAATTAGACGCCTGCAGGAGGAACCCGAGCGTGACTCGAGGTCCTCGTACCTGCTCGTCCTTGAGAGCCCGCTTCCCTCGAGTGTCGATTCACCATTGTTCGTAAACAGCGCGAGCAAGCGAACGAGCGTGTGCGAGCTTTCTACGTTCCTTCGTGATTCATGCGCGCGAGGCGACTCGCCGAGTATCTCGCGATCGAGGCCGGTTTGCGACAATCGAGGGATTTCCGGTAATAACGAGTAACGCGAATCCCATAGAGCCATGCGGTATTATTCAATCGTTACGTCGCCAGATATCCCGGAATAATGGCCATTTCGATTTCAATTCGGACGTTTCTCTTCGATTCGTCAAATTTCATTGATAACTCGAGAATGTAGTCGTTCTCTGTGATTCGATTAAAAAGAACTCGAGAATAATATTGAGAGAAAAAAATAATTAATCTCCCGAAAATTATAGTTATTTTTGCCGTCAAATTTTTCGTTTCTAACCAAAATTATAATATCAGCGCACAGAGAAAAATGTTTCTTTGGATTTAGTATATGTGTTTGTTTGACTTGATTTTGTTTAATATAAACAACGTAATTTAATATCAAATATTACTTTATTTAAATAAAAATGTTATTGCTTCATTAGAGTAAGCCATGTTGTTTAATAGAGAAAACATTATTTAGAAAAAATAATGCTTGGTTTTCAATAAAAGAACAATTTATTTCATCATATATTAAATATTATTCCATTGAGACGAAAATAAATTATTTAATTTTATTAATATAAGGCCATTACAAGCCGAGTACAGTAATTACAGTGCCATAGGAATTATAATGTAATTGTGTATATATTTATTTTTCGACAGAGTTATTTTTTCACAAACATGTATATTACCAATTACGGTGCAAGTTGTTTAATATTTTTCCAACATAAAGTTATTTTTTCCAAATAATTTATTACTTGTGATAATCATTGTAATGTTTGGATAAAAATATGAAAGAAATGTGTTTGATAATTGTAAAGATATTTATTGTTTGGAAAGCCGAATAATCCTGTTTGTTGAATCAAACGTTCATTCGTTTGTTCCATTCCAAAACAGACAAGTTTGTCTCAATTAAAGAAATTTTATCAAATTCACAGAAATCCTTTTCTCTGTCTATATATATATAAAACGTTACTAATCGTTATCGTTGTGGTAATATTCATTACAAAAACCTGGCCTCCCTGATTACAATTATTTCACTATACAATTACAGTCACAAATAGCGTGACACAGTTGCCCCAGTGCAGGGATAGACAACAACACAAAGGATCCTTGCTTCTTACCGGCGCGGTCGTCCGTGCATCCGGCTGGTGTTCGCGATTGCGATTATTCCGAAGACGCAGCCGATCTCGATGCGGAGCGACGTCTTGCCGATGGAAAACGTCGACGGTGCGCGGGTTTTCGGCCCGACGCTGCCGAGGTGTACGGCCGCGGCGCGGGACGCATTTGTATTCGCTGAGCTTCGTGCGATCGATCGGGACGAATGTAAAATTCACGAGGACGCCGTCGATGTCGACGTCTCCCGCGGAGAGCCATAAGTAAATTGCTGGCAACATTGTTCGCCATCTCGCCCGTTTCTGGAGCGTCGCGCCCGCGAACGGCGAACGCCCGACGGCGTCGCGGAATCTCGAAAATGTCCCGGGGTCAACGATCCGCCCGCGCCCGAAATACACCCCATTATTCCCATCAAACTCGCGAAACGCCATGAGACCGGCTACGGGCGCGAAACAGCGCGCAGAAACGCGACCGCGTCGTCCTCGGCGACCGCGCTTTCGGGTCCTCGATTCGCGATCGCGATCATTCGAACGACCGCACAAGTATGATGCACGTAATTTTTCATTTAATCGTTCACACTAGTAGCTTAAAAAGTAGCTATATGATTTTAAGCTCTACCATACAGGCTGTTTCAGAGTGTTTCGGGATTGTATCGAAGCGGGAGACTCGCATGAATCTGCATTTATCACATCCCTTTCGTAAATCAATATCGTAAATAAAAGGATTCCTCTATTCCGTAAGATTTTATTATTCTTGCGAAACTTGCGACAAGGACGGCAATCATTCTCGAGAAGTCGCTAAAGTGATTTTCCCGGAAAGATCTCTCGTGTTTTCCCACGGAGAAAAGAAACTCTTCTGTCACGCGGACGATAACCCGATGTAAGTCCCGGCTAATTAAGTCGCGATCGGCGCTCGCGGCATTTTTCCGTGTCACGCAGAAGACGACGATACGCTTCCGATGACACTCTGACCCTGATTACCCGATTAAATAGATGGCGCGCGCGTGTGTGTGTGTGTGCGCGTACGAGACGCTTTCATACGCACACGCGCGCGCGTGCGTACGCCGCTTGATCCGGGAACCAATGCCGCTGCAGTTATCACTCTCAAGGTTTCGGGAGACTGGTAATTGCGGCAATTCGCATACAGAGCGCTACGTACGTGTGGGAAAGCGCAATCCCGCTCGTCATCGTGCATCAGGCTGAACACGACGACGAAAACGGCCGGGGAAGAAGGAGAAGGGACTCGACGCTACTGAACACACTCGTCACAGAAACAATTCTCATCGGCTAATCGCATGCAACTATACACAGGCTGTGTCTCAAAGTGCGATCGTGGAGACGCGACGCGCTGGAAGCCGAGTTTCCCGGTGAAAATCTAATCTCCCCCCTCCCCACCCACCCCCACCCCACCGCGTCGAACTTCGCCGATCAGGCCTCGAATCGACGAGTAAATCCCGGCGAGCCAACAGTTTACCGTAATATTGATCCCCAAAAGTCCCGCGATACCCGCGTTTCCCCGCGACACAGAGACGCGAGATGCGGCGAACGTCGCCTCGAGGAGTTCGTCCGTGAAGCCAAGGGATTTGGCTCAGTCGATAATCCTCGTCGACCGGGACGTTCGCTGGAAGCTTATGTGCGGTGCACTGAAAATGAACGTGGTAATTAGCGCTAAAATTTGGTGAATATTTACCGGCCGAATGATTATGTTTGATTACTGCAATTTCTCCGCCGTGAATATTCGATCACCGCAAGCAAAGAATTTAGTTGCGTACATTGTACATTTAATATACGCACAACTGAATCATAATCCAGTTATGATTCCAGTTATTTAGTTATTCAGTTATCATTGGATTATTCGCAGCCGTCGAATATTTCGGTCGGCAAATGTTCGCCAAATTTTAGTGCCTATTAAGCCAAATCCCTTTTTCAACGTACCGTCCGAATACGAGTATATTGAGGTACACCCTGCGTTACGAGACACGGTGACGCGAAACGATGGCACTCAGCGGCGAGAGCGCTCGCAAATCAAAAGAGACGCGGGCACCCGACAACAGCAACAAACCAAACTGAATCGAGAGCCGATCTTATCGCGTTCGATACGCGCTATCGTAATCTCGCGGGATCGATTGCTCGCGGACGATCTCGCTCATTCGAGGTGCGCGAGCCGGCGAAAATCACACGGGAAGAAAAGCGGGACAAGACACACAGGCCACTATGAAAGCGAACGGACACACACACCACCGTCCGCCGCTTGTGTTTGTCTCTTTACCTGTTGCACGTACCACTGGGTGGAGCTCTGGCTCTTCCGGTGGCCGCTGGGCTTGCAAGGGGCGCAGAGCAGCAAGGGGGTCAGTTTGTTCACCCCCTTGACGGGGGCAGCGCCGGTCGCCGCCGGCGTGGGCGACGCTGCTGGGCTCAGCCCGTCATCCCCCCCCAACACCGGCCACAGCATCCACGTGTGGATCCACGTCCGTCCGCAGCTGCCCTTCCCCCTCTTCTCCCTCTTCGCCCCCTTCCGAACCCGAAATCCTGCTCGCTGCGCCCTCAGAGTAGCTCTTTCTTCGCGAAGTCCTTCTCTCTCTCTCTCTCTCTCTCTCTTTGTCGATTTATTTATTTTTTTTTGTTTTCTTCTTCCTTTTCTTTTTCTTCACTCGTTCATATTCTTCCTCTTCGTCCGTTCTTCTTTCGCTCCTTCCGCTTCTCCTGCCCGTCCACCCCTTGATCGGTCCTCGGCGCCGTTCCTCCGGCGTCTTCCTTCCGGAACCACCAATACGTCAAGCTGTCGCCACGCGGGTCGCCGGCGAACTAAATCGTCGACGTCGCGTCACGCCTCGACGATGACGATGACGACGCTCGCGCGCGATCGCCGCGAGCTCCAGGAGCGTATCATCGCAGGCCGGTGCGTGTCTCGGACGTTCGTCGGCAGCTGCGGCTGAAGTTTCAAGCAAGTCCGTTGAAGAAGGGTGGTTTCGACGGCTGTCGGCTCGCGGAGAGTCACCTCGTCATTACCGCGCGAGTACACGAGTTGAAATTCTCACCCCCCCCACCCCCTCTCTACCCCCGCACGGCTTTCTTTGACGTAATCGCGGAGAAAACGCGCGTTATACTTCTGTTTTTATATAAATTATTTATTCTCCGGTTTGTAGAAATTTAAATTCGGCTTCAGATATTTAATACTTCGTGATCGCGTATCTATTTATGCCTAAACGAATCTCGAAGAAGTTTGTTCATTTTGAATCTCTGCACGGAAAAATTTAGTCTTAAATCGATGATAGATATTCTGATATATAAACGAGAATATTATAATCTTCTTAAAAGATTTTTACTAAGATTGGATTGAATTTGTATTAATGCAAGTGTCACTCGCACTCAAGACTAAAAATCTTCTAAGAATACCATAATATTCTTGCTTATATATGTGAAAATATCTATTATCGATTTAAGACTATTTTTTTCTGTGTGAACATTCGGATGTTTTTACGATTATTTAGAAATACATCTAAATTTGTATAAATCGTTCATCCCTCCACTTATATGAATCCAGATTTCTCCCTGAATATCGACGCGGTAATTCGAACGCTTAGAACAAATGTCGAACTTTTTCAGATCAATCTCCAAGTTAAAAAGTTAATTTTCCAAGTCAGCGATCGATCGGGCGTTCATATCGCGCCGATCATCACCCGCATATGCGATGTTTGCGCCACCGGGGACAGAGAAGCGCAGCGACACGCAGCTCATGCTTGTCCGCCATTAATCATTCTTGCACCTGACTTACGGCGATACAAAGAAAACAAACCGGCGAACCCTGCTGAACTTTATTTCGGGCGGCTGTAGTCAAAGGAGAGAGACGCCTCCGTCCGTCGCGCTCCAATGGGTCGATAATTAATTACGAAAGGTCGAAGGTGAGGTGCGTGTTTGTACTTCCGGTATGCACGCATATCGTGGGCACTCACGTGGGCGAGGCAACCCCGTCGTGCGCGAGTACTGCACGATATCGCGGAGAGACTTCTTGACTTCGCCGCACCACCCCTTTTCTCTTCCGAAGTTAAAGCCTAACGCGCAAACGACGCGCCATTGGAAGCTAAGTGGCGCGTTAAAAAGCTAAGCAAAAACGAAGTAATACGTGAAGCGTGAATAAGAGAAGCAACTCTGCTCAATTTTTAATTTTACGTCGTAAGCGTCCGCTTGAACAGCCAAAATGGTCGATTGGCGAAGAAATAATAAAATATGTCACGAAAACAATATTAATACTGATATAATAATAATAATAATTGATTCTTTGACCGCAGTTCTCTCATTTCTAGTTTTTTAAATTTAATATAATGTTCACTTTCATTACATTATATATAATATTATGTTTATCTTTTTTCTGTATTTTATATTATATCTGTATTTTATATTTTTCTGTATTTTATAACTTCGAACTTTTTTTTTTATTTGCACATATCTATGTTTATATAGTTGGCCATTCAGTCCTTGTTCTTTTCATTACTTATTCTGTTAAGTCACTTATTGTTACAAATATTATTTAGTATTATTATTATCATTTATTTACTTTAGCTAGACATGTTGCTTTTATTGTAAACAGCCAAGGGAAGCTTTCCCGTTAATAAATAAATAAACATTAAATATATATCACTGATATAATTCGCACAGAAAAGCGTGCAAATTTCGTTTTATGATCTTTAATTACGTACGTAAATACAATCGGCTGCAACGGAAGTAATTATTTTCATTTGCCCTTTGTTTTTGCTTGGCAGTAATTATGTTTATCGCGATGAATGAAATATATATATATATATATATATATTTTTTTTTTTACACAAATGCGAGCAAATTTCATTTGCATCGCGGCCGAAACATTTACGCAACCACTCGCACTTCGAGTGTCTCTCTCTCGTGCAGCGTGAAAACTGCTGGTTCACCTCGGCGGCGAATCGACGTGCTAACGAGGATTTAAATGCATTCAGAGGTCCGCGAGGTCCACGTGAAAAACGTGACGCGTGACGTTCTTCTTCTTCTTCTTCTCGACTCAATGCGACCGTTAACGCGCCTTAATTGTCAACTCGTTACGTGTCGTCGCGTTTATTCTACTAATGGACAATAATCTCCCGCGAATTGACCGCTCTGCAACTGCGGAGGAGCGATACGTCTCGCACCGGTCTGATGTTCCGGTGAGAAACGACGAGCCAGTCGATACGACATGACATGAAAAACCGTTTTTATCTCGTCGGGAAACGGTTTTGAAATATTTCCAGAGCAATGTAGCGGATATCGTGTCTCGACGAACGGTTAGCTCTGCATTTGTCATTTTCACTTATTTCTCATCACTCGTCTCTGCGAAATCCCCGAAAAATCACAGGGAACAATTGTATTTTAGTATAATTCTTTTATCATTTTTATCGTCCCGGTGTTTCTCGTTTTCGCGCATTCGCGTCTACCCTTCCCACCGACATATCCGACTCGCGTGTATTTTTGATTCGCGATACGCCGAGACTATTATCCCCGAAGGATATTATCCAGATATCTTCGCTCTCGAAATATCCGCCGGCGTATTTTCGCTCTCGGGGAAAAAATTTCCCAGAACTCCCCTGGAATAGAATCCTCCTCTAAAAAAAAGCCCGGCTTTTCCCGGAATATTCCTCGAGCGTGCTCGGAATATCCTGACACGATATTCTAACTCTCTTTCTCCCTCTCTCTACTCTCTTTACTCGATTCTCTCTTTCTCTCTCTCTCTCTCTCTCTCTCTCTCTCTCTCGCTGCCTCTTTAAAAATTACACTAAGTCCTTATCTACAATCTTGCTTTAAAACGTAAGCAAATTGACCAATTACAGTCCCGTATAAGAATAATCGACCGTGATTGGTCAATTTGCTTTCGGCTTACATCATGAAGCAAGGTTGTAGACAAGGGTTAGTATCCTCGAAAAGTACCATCTCCCTCTTTGCCGCTCTCTGCGCTAACGAAGAGCGAGCTGCTGATTTTCGGCGTTGTTTGCTCGCGAAACGAGGGGGAGGAGAGGAGAATCAGTAGTGAAAACATACCGGACTGATTGACTTGCTCCTTTATCTCTCTGTTTTCGTCTCTGTTCCCTTCTTTTCTTTATGAAAGTGATCCGATTATCTCTAGTGATTGGATTTTCCGCGGACGTCAGCAGAGGCCGATCGTGCGATGGCCCTACGCGGGCGGCGTGCAAATACGATTGAGTAGGATACAGAGGACGATAAAAGTGTCGATGCCCGTCGACGCCTCGTTCCGATAAAACGAACGCCCCGTCGTGTCGCGACATGACACGAGAGCCGGACGGGCGTATGTCCACGACCTTCACCCCGACCAACGGGAAGCGACATTATCACGTAAAGGCGCGGGCGGTAAGCGCCCTACGATGTTATCGCGTCCAATTTCTTCGTTAAAAGGCGGCCGTTTTGCCAACAATTTACCTTAAATCGAATTATCCTCGGCGCAATCGTCTCCGGGCGAGAAGCATTAATCTTACTCGAGTCGGACCGACGTTGTTGCAATTACCGTTGAGTGAAAGATGACCCGTGACACTAATTCTCTCTCTCTCTCTCTCTCTCTCTCTCTCTCTCTCTCTCTCTCTTTTTCTCATTCAAATATCCCTCGTCTGCAAAATCATCCGGGATGATCTTGCCGAAGATCTCTCGGGAAATCTGAATTTGAGAGTGATAAGGATTCTCAATCAAGTGGAACAGTGACAAAGCTCTCGACAATTGCTCTGTCATAGCTTCGCTTAACTAAGAAGAATCTAGATTTCTCTCTCCCAAATTTAGATCTCTATTTAAAAGATTAACAAAATCTAAATTTTATTCTTCCAATCTTATTAAAAATTTTTCCAAGTCAAATCATTGTTCTTCATATAAATTTTGCGCAGTCTGAGTTACTTTACTATGCAACCTGTGTCTTATTTATCCCATGATTATCAGCCGTTACAACGCGAGATGAACAATTGTATCTTTGAGGCACAGGACAATCACAGATTCGTTATTCTTTCATAAATTAATTAATGTCGAGCTAGATTTTCCTAATATTCCAGGGCTTCTTGAATTCCTAATTAAGTGCCTTAAACGATATCCGCCTTTTTATATTTCGTATTATCAAACATTATATGAATGGGTTTCAACCCATTAGTCATCTGAGCATGCTAGCTAATGAATTTCCCAATTGCATCGATTTCTTTAATATGCCTCGAAGTATGCTCAGAAGCAAATTAAATCCGCTGTTCATAGAAACGTAGATCTTTTTCTTGTCGTCGTCACTTTACGTATCTTTGTTCTTATTATGCTCTTTTTTTTATATAAAAAAGGGAACTTTTCCCGTTCATGTTCTCTATAAATAAATAAAAAAATAAATAAATCTCGCTGCAAATGGTCACAGCATCTCGGGATGATCACGAAAAATAAATTGTATTCTCGGGATTTCATTCCTCGCGGTGGCATTGATCCGATACAACAACCGTGTTGCTCCTCTTACCGCGATATCGCGGAAAGGAACGAGAGCGTCTTCGACGGAGGTCGAATCGGAGATGCTGGGCGGCGAGATCCGCAAATTGGATGAGGGAGCTCGGTTCCCCGTGTATCGATCTTCGATTGGAAATCGCGTTTTTCCGCTCCTGATAACGAAGAGAACGATATACGCGCGCGCGAACCCGCACGATTCTCTCCGGGATTTCGCGTCTCCGTCGGCATGACGCATTCTCGAGAAAAGGAGCACACACGAGCGGAATGCGTTATGCAACGCAGGTATTGTCCGTGAAGAGAGGCCGCAGGAAAAAGCAGCGGCTCGTCGCTCCGTAGGAAGGAAGCGCTCCTCACTCTCTCGAGTTGAATCAATGAAAATGTCACCAATTGTATCAGCGAAACAGTATTCTACTGATAACCAGTGAATATTCATTGATTTTTAGCGAAAACGGCTTCCACGGCTCTTTCGTCTAACACCTCACCGATTTTGGCCAGTGAAAGATGCCATGGATAATATTTAAAAAATAAGATTAGGATAACAAAAAAGAAGTGACAAATAATATCTTTTTTTACTGTTTCTGCGGTTAGATTCCTCCGGAAACAACTGCTGCTATTAACAGACTTTCGCAGCGAAATTTTGCCGATTTGCTATATTTATATCTATGATTATTAGTGACTATCGACTGCTTTTCAGACGGATAACGCACGATTGTAATTTAGAGAACAAGCCGGCGCGCTTCTCGTGTCGCTCGCGGTGACTTCAACGACGCCGATGCAAACCCTTCACTTGCGCCAGGAAGCGATCCAAATCTCCTCTCGTTATCCGCCCGCCACGGCTTTAAATTCGCCATTCTTGACAATCGCGTTGTCCCTTTATGCTCCCGGAAATACGTGGACCGCAAACTGTCCCGCAGGTTACGCGCGATCGATTCGTTGCCGCCCATGTATGCGGTAAATTCTCTTTCTCTCTCTCTCTCTCTCTCTCTCTCTCTTTTATAAACGTTTGTTGAACTTTTGTCCCACACAAATAATGATTCTTGTTTCTGCGGTGACAGATATTTTTTTTTCAGGAGTGCAAATGTCGCAGGGTAAAATATTGCATTTGATATCCGCGGCAACGCGAAGCGAAGAGAGACACAAGGACGAATATTATCCAATTTTTCTCGTGTACATTCTCCATTTTATTTAATTTATTAGCGAGGTGGGCGTTGTTTGTTCGATTATTGCTCGGGGCTTGCAAATTGTTTTTAGATTAACGATATTGTCGATGAAAGGAAAACAGCGATTAAGAGGATTTTTTTTTCGCGGTGACGGATATTTTCCACGGGATTAAAAATGAGAGCAGCGCGCTTGCGATTGATATTCGCGGTTACAAAGGGATGTAAATGCAAATATCGCGTTCGATATCGCTCGAGATTACTCGGCATTTTTAGTAACAGAGAAATACGATGAATTACGGAGGAATTATTAAATTTTACATTTTTAATTTACCTTGTCTTGCATATTTTATTTAGTTTGAAAACGGATTTTCCCGGCTTTCTCTCGAAAAGGAGCCGAAGACACCGCGAAGTTGAAAAACTCGGTTTATCCGAGTCTTTAAAACTATAATATCTTCAACTTCGCTTAGTTATTTAGAAAGAGGGATATCGTCATTTATTTATTTATTTTTGTAATATTATTCACGACTCTCGAATTATTTTCGAATTGGCGGCGTACCCGGCGAAAGCGAACGGTGGCAACGCGGAACGTGAGGCTTGCAGTCAGCACCACGGTGGAGAAAAAAAAAGAAACACGCCAGCGGATTATGGGAAACGAGTGCCCACAGCTAATGGGTTACTCGGTTAGTCATTCATTACGTTGGTACGCTCGGCCAGCGCACGTGCGCGCTCACCTACGTGGCGCGTGTTTGTGTGCGTTCGCACGACTCAACAATAACTGGTTAGAGTCTTTCAAGGTGCTTTTGCAAGCAAACCTAATATTACTCTCCAGTTGAAACGCATTCTTATCAAGTGATTTTCCACCTCGGCATTATTCGCCGACCTTACCCAACCCGCAGGAAGGTGCCCGTGCAAATTTCACGAGGCACTCGCGGCGCAGGCTCGCGTTACGCGTAAAAACGATCCACGAACTACGGGATCGTTAAAGCGTGGTACGAGGAAGGGTGAGCGAGAGAGCGATAAAGAGAGAAAGAGAGAGGGAAAGAGAGAGAGAGAGAGAGAGAGAGAGATCTCGGGGCGAAATCTAAAACGGAAGTGATATCCGAAACGATTACACGATGGCCGGCTGGTAGAACAACCGCGTGCCCGAATCCGAGAGTGCGACGAGCATTCCGACCGTAATGCATGCAGTCCATTGCGCGCATTCTACGCGACACGCACCGAAGATTTGATGTTTAATCGAAAAAAAAAAAGAGAAGGAAATCGCGAACGTGCAAGAGTCGTAAAATTGCCAGTAAAATTGGCGGACAGGTCGTCAAATCGTATCCAAGGCCGATTGTGCAATTCGAATTTCTCGACGATATTTCGTTTGTTATTTATGACGTGCAAGGCGACCGCGAAGAATTCAACATGAGATAAATTCGAGATAAATTCTTCGGAGATGAATTCGCTCGCTAAGAAAAAGATTCAGCCGGAATTCTCGTTTTCGATCTCATCGTGTTCGCGTTTGTTGGCAAATGTCACCGACTTATTTTTATTAATTATACGCGAGATGTTTTATAAAATTATTGTTCCAATTGTCCGAGCATCGTTATCAGTTTCCGCGTAATTTTTATCGCCGGCAAATTCCGGCTTGCCAGGCCAATCGCGTCGCGTTTAATTCTGAATGAAGGTTCCCAGCCGATATACGGCGGTAGTAAAGTACAGTGCACTGCGAAGTACAGGAAGTAAACAGCGGCGTTAACGTTCCCCTCATTATTAATAAAAGGTGGACTATCGACTTGTCCGAGAACGGGGAGTAATTCTCGATTACAAAGAAATGACTCGTTACGTATTTTTCCGAAGAAAAAGCAACTACGGCTTTTACACACGGTTTCGTTGAATTTTATGAATCATTGTGCAACCGGATCGATCGCGAGCGACGCGCATTCCAGCCCATATTGGAAACAACAAAACCAAGTTGTATGAAAATATGGAAGTTTCGATCACAAAACGGTAAACTAATGATATATATCGATACGCTACTTAAATCGTTGTTAAAATTCGTTGTGATTTTAAAATTAAATAAATAAATAAGTAATTTTGAGTAATCTTTATGACACAATATTCTTACATAAGCAATCCCTGAGTGTTATAATCGTAAGAAGGAAAAATAGAAAAGAAATCTACGTGACGAGAAATTTAAATGCTTTTAAATATCAAGTCATTATTTTCTAGTTAATTAAAATTAAATTAAGCAAAGCAACATTCAATTAGATTCGAATGAAATGAAATTAACTAAAGCAACATTCAATTAGGCTCGAGTAAAATTAGGTTCAAGTTAATGAAATTTGAATTAATTAAAGCAACATTAAATCAGATTCAAGTAAAATTATTTTTCATTTCACGTGAAATTAAATCTCGAGCAAAATGAAAATTCTGTAGAATCCTCATATAATATTACTCATATGCTCTCCGCGAGAGAATCAACACGCCGATTGAGGAAACAACACACCGTTCACGTGATTTCCGCGTCTCCCTCAACACCTTATTCTCCGTCGCGTTCGCTTAGGTATCCTCCAGTTTTCAATTACGAATTTATTATACGATCACGCCCGATGATCTCAGCGTTAATCACTCGATCATCGACGACAACGAAGTGACTCTTACGAGCAGCCGGCCGACCGGGACACCTGCTTTCCGGATTTTTACCTGTCGATTCGACCCCGGCCTCGGCCAGGCGGCTCGAGCGTGCTCCGGATCACCTGGCGAGATCACGAAACAAATGAATGGCCGGACACACCGCGTGCATATACGCACACGCACACACGTGTATACACAATCGGAGAAAATCGGGAATGACCGCACGGTTCGCCGTCCCGACGCCGACTGACGCTAACCCACGGCTGTTGCAGTCGCATCGGCTGAGCGTAGCCGAATGCACTGACCACGCCGCCACGCTATCGTCGCGACACGCTCAGGAACGTATCGTCCGTATCGAGCGCCGAGGGTGGAAAACGGCGTTTCGCGTCACGGAAATCGACCTACGCGCGCTCGAACTTATCCCCTATCCCCGGAGAACGCGAAAAACGGGAGTAATGCCGACTGTGCGTGACTCAAGATCAGTTTGCCATTCGTCAGTTTGACGAATTACGATGTAGAAATGAGTAATTACGACATTATTTAATTGCCAAAGATTAATCCTTTGCGCCGGCAGTTACCTGCATTTCCATCTAGTCAGTTCGTAGAAATTTCGTTTCTTCGTGACATTGTATCGCAGTTTGCCTTCATGTCGGCTATTTCAGCATCCAGTTAATGCAAAAACACATTTTTAACGATATTTGCTTATAGTATATTAGTATAATAGTATTAATGCGTCAGTATATTATTTAATATTATTATATAATTATGTGCCATTAAATAATTATATCCGAAATAATTTACATTTTAACCCCTTAACTTGTACGCTCGAGTTAATTCGAGCGCGCTAAACAGGCCAAACTGTGCACACTCGAGATAATTCGAGCGGCGTTGTATTTTATGCTGCTATAATTTTTCACGCTCGAATATAATCGAGAATTGAAAATAACAATGTGAAAGCAAAGAAAAAAAATTTTTTTACATAAAAAAAATTGATTTTTTTGGCCGGTTTTTTTTTCAAAAAAACTGTGCGTTAAGGAGTTAATTACGTTGTAAAGTTCTAACTACTAAGAAACGAGATACTAAATCGTGAAAATAATATACACTATAATACTGGTAATATTAATAATATTATATTAATAATACTAGTAATATTAATGAAGCTAAAATTAACATGGCACTGATGTTAAACAAGAAGCTGGCTTGTATTATTGTCTGGAACGGAACGCGAGGTAGACTATGTAGGACCATAAAGGACTAAAATATCCGACGGTCGCTGGGCGGCACGTGACAAACGCACACCCGCATGACCGCCTGCCAGCCCCGGCGAGGATCTGTCGGCCACGCTTTCTACACGCGGTCTTGGACACGTGCGGCGGTCTTCCACGATGGATGGCCTCAAGGCTACGGATCGTGTCGCGCAAATTTGATTCGTCACGCTGAATGCCGAGCGCATCGCGTGCGGTATCGAGACGACACTCTTCGCGAGATCCTCTCGCTCAACCGCGGCTCTCCGCGTTGAATTCGATGATTTTTCCCTCAGTCGTCGTTTGCTCCCGAAAATCTTATGTTAGCTTAGCTTTCGTTATCGGCCGTTGGCACACTTAAGGCCCAGCGTACATAATAATATATATTAGTTGTACTTCTCGATGGCTAATTTTATTCGGACAAGAAATGTCATTAAAAATGTCCTTTAAAATGACCTCATAAATTAGAACATTTTATTCCAATAGGATCGATATGGGAGCTTTAAAGGGTTAAAAGCGGCTTGATGAAAATCGCTGCCTCGGAGCACCTAGCTTGCGTATGATTATCGAGACGGACGGGGGTTGCTTTTCCATGCGAGAGCAGACTCGTGTATCCCCGTGGAACAACCTGAGTCATCAAAAGTTCTCCCCGTGTACACTCGTCGGCCGCCGACGGCGAGGAAGGGTCGCCGACATTGTGAACGCGCCGGAATAACCCTCGAACCGTCGGCGTGAAATTAAACCGCGGGGAGCGATAGCCAGATGCGACTACCAGCTGCTTCCTTCAGTGTAAAACTGATGAAGGTGTGCGGGGAGAGGCGCGATTGTCTCGGCGCGAGTTTCTGTAATATCTCTCCTCCGCAGTAATAACTGTAATTTTCTCTTACGACAATTTGATAACAGACGACACTCTGATTTTACCCGATGACGAGCGCATTTTAATTCGAGGGTGGGTTTTTAAGAATTTTGTTTAATTAAATGGTTTATTCTATTTTTTTTTTCTGAGTAGGAGAACACTTCTGGATGATTGCAATCCCATTCTCATTTTCATAAACTGATTCTCGCTTTTGGTATTCGACATAATTATCAGTTGGAGACCATTCGATAACTACGTCGCACTATGAGGGGAAAAGGGATCTATTGACTTGCGTGACGGTCTATGATTGCAGGAAAGGAAGAAGCAAAGTCTGTGGAACGTCACGTTAGATAACATTATTTGTAAATATGGATGTGCGTGGTTATTCACTTCGTTCGTGATACATTTGTGATACATTCAGTTACATTTGGTGAAAATTCTTAAATTTTGTCATAGTTTTGTGTTTTGTTAACAATCGAAATGTAAATTTTTTAATATTCATCCTGTGAAAAACACATTTTTTACTAGTCAAACCTTTATAAAATAAAATCATTAATTCGATGTTATATGCCGAAAAATTATTTATATTTTAGAAAGATAGTAGCGTGCAGTATTTATTATCCGCAATATGTTTAGAGGCTATTTTTTCATTCTTGTTGATTTTCTATGGCTCTCAAATCTCGCGTGCGCTCCTCTCTTTTGTGTTTTCATGCGCTCACTGTTTCTCGAAAAACAGCGTTAGATAGAGCAGCGCTAGCGATCGTAGCGCTTCTCATAGTTTAAGTTAGTCTGAGCTCTCGACTCGCAGCGTCTCGTCACATAGGCTGAGAATCCTTGTACGATATTCTTCTGTATCCAGACTCCGTTGTGTCTCAATATAATTATATCCTTGCTCTAAGTGTGTCGAACCACTGTAATATCTCAATAATTCTATGTGCCCGCAGGAAAGGGGTTAATTCCACATGTCATGTAATATTGGGAAGGGGTAAATACTCGGTGACGAAATTGTGACGAAGGAGAGGGGGGAGTGAAGGATACCCGCATTTAGCATGACGTAATTGTTGAATGGCCTCTTGTCTAAATTGTTATTTTACTCCGAAGGCTAGACGATAGCGATTCTCATCTCCGCTCTTAGCGGAGGTGACTCGTACGCGTCATTCGATCGTCATGAAGTATCTCAGTCGTACAAACGTAGGCAGTCGTAGATACCGCGGCGAGGCGCGCTCGGTACTGAACTTGAACTGATAACGTCGCAGGTAATAGCGATCGTCGAGTTCCTCTTTTGTCGTTTGTTATCCGGCGACATGACGCGCTCGTCGTGACGCACTCGTGACGCGCGAAATACCGCGTCGGCGGTGCATCGGCGGTTGTTACGTCATCACGGACGTCATCCTTACCTCGTGTTTGCGGTGCCCGTGGGACGGCACGAGTAGGTCGATACACACGCGTGGAAACCCCCTTAATTTAGAAGTTACACACCATAACTGCGCTAATTCGAACCGGTTGCTGCGAAACGGACACGTGGAAACTTTTGTGG